TGGATCTGCTGCACGTGCTTCAGCTGATCCTGCACTGCACTACTGTCACCCCCATCGGCAGAGTCGCCCCAGGTCACGACCGATCCATCACCAAGAATGGCAGCAAATGCGCCGCGAGACGCTTGGATCTGCTGCACATTCTTGAGCTGGTCCTGCACAGCACCACCACAGCTAGCATCACCCCAGGTGACTACGGATCCATCGCCAAGAATGGCAGCAAATGCGCTGCAAGACGCTTGGATCTGCTGCACACTCTTCAGCTGATCCTGCACAGCTCGTCGGTCACCACCGAAAAAGGCATAACCCCAGGTGACGACGGATCCATCGCCAAGAATGGCAGCAAAGGCTTTGCCGGTGGCCTCGATCTGCCGCACATTCTTCAGCTGATCCTGCACAGCTCTACTGTCACCACCACAGTAAGGATCACCCCAGGTCACGACCGATCCATCACCAAGAATCGCAGCAAATGCGCCGCGAGACGCTTGGATCTGCTGCACATTCTTGAGCTGGTCCTGCACAGCACTGTTGTTACCACCATAGCCAGCAGCATCCCAGGTGACTACAGATCCATCGCCCAGAATGGCAGCAAATGCGCTGCAAGACGCTTGGATCTGCTGCACACTCTTCAGCTGATCCTGCACAGCTCGTCGGTCACCACCACAGTCAGGATCACCCCAGGTGACGACGTATCCATCGCCAAGAATGGCCGCAAAGGCTCTGTCGGTGGCCTGGATTTGCCACACATTCTTCAGCTGATCCTGCACAGCTCTGCTGTCACCACCACAGTAACGATCACCCCAGGTCACGACCGATCCATCACCAAGCGTGGCAGCAAAAGCACGTTCATTGGCCTGAACTTGAACTTTGCTTATATGTAAAACCAGTGAAGCACCATCCTGGAGCCCCTCCAGATGAGTCCACCAGCCGCCCTTTCGCCACGCCGAGCGCGGTCTCCGCCCGACGTTTCAGTGATCCCACTTCTTCATCCAAGCAGGATTTCACAGTAGCAGTCCTGCCACTCAGCAATCCAACTTTTACAGTAATCGACATAGCGCACGGCCGAAAGACACCGAATGCCTACAGTCGGCTTTGGGATGTAGGGCATCATACTTTCAACTGCAATAGTTATGCCATAAAGATACCATCGTTGGGCTAGGAATGGCCTGAGTGAGTGAGATCTTGTGCATGGTTCACGCCTGTAGAGTTTTTCTAAACAGACCATGTTCGGGATTTTGTCTGCAGAAACCTGCACTGATCTCCAGTTGCAGAAACCCTGAACCCTAAACCCTCAAACCCTAAACGCCTAAACCCAAACCCCTAAACCTAAACCCCTAAACCGTAACCCCTAAACCCCTGAACCCCTAAACCTCTAAACCCCTAAACCCCAAACCCCTAAACCCCTAAACCCTAAACCCCTAAACCCTAAACCCCTAAACCCCTAAACCCTGCCGGTGTCTCCAGGATTGGTGTCTTGTGGTCTCGGGGAATCGGGTTCTAGTCTTAGATAACTTTCAGTTCCTCTTCTGTCTGGTGCTTAGTAGGGAATGGGGAAATGGGTTATAGGGACTACTATAAGGGATCTTAAGGGACTATCATAGGGATCCATTCCCCCATTCCCTACTAAGCACCAGATAGTATTTTTCTAACCAATGCTTATGGGTTTAGGGTTTAAGGTTTAAATGCTTAAATAACCGCCTCGTAGAACACACTATATTGCTTTCCTTGTTGTCGGGATTTAGGGCTTGGGCTTAGAGCACAAATTGGCTGTAATGCTCTAGATCTTACTCTCAAAACCCTGACACGGCAAAGCCAGACCGCGGACCCTGTATATAGTAGGTGCCGACAGTTCTGGGAAACATGTTTTGGTGTGGAGACGTTCTACAGAATGAGGTTTCCGACGGACGAGGCCCAACATCGAATCCGCTGTTCGTCTTTGCCAAATGCTCAGCCTTGTTCAGTTGAGGGTTTGTTTATCAACTCTGCCACGTCATAGAGCATTGCGAGACACTTAAACTAGAGCTCGCTAGTCTTCTTAGTAGAAGTCTGAATCTGTGGATGGTTGAATCTGGCTACCAGCCCGGCTTCTAACGCATTGCATGATGACCATGAATGCTCGGAGGCCGATGCCTGGTTCAAGGTCGGGGACGGTGATGTTGATGGCGACGAACAACCAGACGATGGCAGGGGTGGACGGGAAAGCTCCTTCAGACTTGGGTCTTAGTACCGAAACCTGCTGAAACTGCATGAGGCTATAGACGGTCTACATCAATCCAGCGCTAAACCCTACAAAATCAACCCTAAAACTGGAATCCTATCCCCTGAACCCCAAGCCCTATGACTGGGCGGGCGAAGCGTTTTGAGGTTTTTGGAAAAGAGAACTCGCGCGCGTGCGCGTGTGTGTGTGTGTGTGTGTGATTGTGTGTGTGTGTGATTGTGTGATTGTGTG